CCGCTGTGACTAAGCTTTGCGGCATCACAGTCACACTTGGGTCCTCAGCGCCACGTCAGCATTTACATTGCAACACATGTGACCACGACCTCCTTGCTGCCCGTCCTTTCAGAGAACGCCCAGCCCTGGTGTTGGAACGTAAGTCCAGAAATGCAGCTCCCCGTCATTCTGCTTAAATGAGCCACACCCGCTATGTATAGCCTATAATTTGGTTCTTAATTTTTTTTGACCAAGAATGTAGAGATACTTGCAGAGCCATTGGGCTGAAGAGCCCGTGCAGACACTTTCCTGGTCTCCCTGCTCTCGTATAGTCTTTGCACAGCACTTCCCTTCTTCAGCAACTGCCCGTTTCCACACCTCCCTCCCAGGGATTCCGTTCTCTCTGCGCTCAGGGTCCGTCGCCCCACCTGTGATTTGTTCACTTAAGTGATCGCAGTCACGGTACAGCCGGCGTCGGCAGGTGTGCGGGTCAGGTTCAGGGAAGACCGGGTGGACCCCGGGCGTGTGTCGTGGCGTAAGGGTCTGCGTGCTGGGGACCGGCCGGTGCGGCTCACAGGTGCACTTCATCAGAAATGACCAATGAAACTACCCGGACTTCTCTACTTTTCAGGTAGAAAAGTCACGTGTGTACAGTGTAAATGTCTCATTCTCGATGGTTCCTTGTAGAACAGGTTTCCTGTATCTTATCCCGCTCCGCTCTCGGTTTGAAAGAACAAGATTGAGTGAGAATGCACTATGCACTATGCACTGTGCATGTTAGTGTTTTCACTAAACTAAAAGGGAAGGAATAGTCTCCACCCTCGAGCGGTGGACAGTGCGGTGACACACGGACAGGGGCGAGGTAACACCCCCGTGTGTGAGAGCACAGCGGAAACTTGAAGAGAGGGGGCCTGGGAGGAGGGAAGGAGAGCCCGGATGGGACTGTGGAATCCAGGTTTTCAAGACCCGAGCAGGGCCCGTGAGGGCGTGGGCGCCTTTGAGGGTGGCTGCCTGTCGGCGCGTGTCTGGGTCCCGCCTGACCTGAGCCTCGGCCTTTGGGCGTGGTGTCCCGGGCTCACCGCCCTGTGGTCACTCCTAGGTCCTGGCCGTGAGGATCGACGACCTGGACCACCTCCCCGAGACCACCACCATCGACGCCTCTTCCATCGGTATCGTCCAGGTGAGCCCGGCGCACGCGGGGCCCGGGACGTCTCACCCAAGGGGCCCCGGCAGGTGTCCTGAGCAGCCTTTGGGGAAAAACCCCACGTTTCACGCTCGTTTGCCTCTGTTTTATTGGTTGGTCGTCACCCCAGGAGCCTTTTAGTTTCTGTAAAAGTTTCTAGAATTTCAGTTTTCTGAATCCTGACATATCTTCTTTTAGAGAATAGATGGTTTCTTAAGTCACAGTTCCCCACAGAAGACAGTCAATAGAGAGCGTGTGTACACGTGCGTACGTGTGTGTACAGAGAGAATTCGGTTTATTTTAAGGACTGGGTGCCCACGAGTGTGGAGCTGGCAAGTTCAGAGCTTTCAGGATGGGCCGGAGGCTGGAGACCCAGGAGGAGTTGATGCTGTGCCCGGGGTCCATCTGGAGACAGAGTTCCCGCTTCCTCTGGGAGCTTCAGGCTTTCCTCTCGAGGCCTTCGCCCGATGGGACGAGGCCCACCCGCATTGCAGAGGGCGCTCTGCATGACTCAGTACCCACCAATGTCAGTGTTAATCACACCTGAAAGATCCCTTCACGGCAGCCTCTAGACGTGTTCAGCCACCCAGCCGGGCGCCCGAGCCCAGCCACGCTGACCCTTAAACTTAAGCATCACAGGTGTTTCCAGAAAAGCTTATTAGCACGATTAGATTATTAGAAGCAAAATAACTTTCAACGTATTAGGTGAACTTACTTTTAAAAGGAATTTTTAGTCAGTAGCTTTATATAAAGAGCTTCTCTTATTTTATTTTATTTTATTTTTTTGTGGTACGTGGGCCTCTCACCGTTGTGGCCTCTCCCGTTGCGGAGCACAGCCTCCGGACGCGCAGGCTCAGCGGCCATGGCTCACGGGCCCAGCCGCTCCGCGGCACGTGGGATCCTCCCGGACTGGGGCACGAACCCGTGTCCCCCGCATCGGCAGGCGGACTCTCAACCACTGCGCCACCAGGGAAGCCCAGCTTCTCTTCTTTTAAAGGAAACGTGTCGTGCTCTCGGTTATTTTAAAATCACGTTTCTACCTCTGTGTTTTGCAACGGAGCTTTGGGCGCGGCGCTCAGTGGCCGGGTTGTACTGAACCGCCGTGCCCCATGCCTCAGCAGCCCCGGAGGGCCAGGACCACGCCCACCCTGGCCGGGGCAACCCCTCCTCAGGGTCTGCCTGCCGCTGGGTGGGAGCAAGTCTCATGGATGGCACCAAGGACCAGGAGGGAGGAGAGCCTTGCTGGCCACCGTGACTCAGCGGCCTCCGTGATGCTGGGCCAGCCCAGCTGTAGGTCGGAAAACAGGCCACACTTAGCAGCTCAAGAAGACGTGTGCAGGGCACCCGTCTGGGGTCGCCATTACCGCCGGGCCCTGTTTGCTGTCCCCAGAAAAGGTGACTGCACAGTTCTTGCAGTCAGCCTCATTTTGATCCAAGATTGTGTCTGCAGTGAATCTGTTTCAGCCAGGGGATGAGAGTCCTGATGTGAAAGCATTTTTCAGTCTCAGACTGAGCTCAACAGGGCTGAAACAGTGGCTCAAAAAATCTGCTTTTAGAGATGTTTCTATTTCAGCACCAAATGTGGCTTTTAAAAATATGACTGGTATCTAAAATCCTTCACCTGAAAGAAAAGCAACTGAAACCAACAGGAACTTGCCCCCGTCCTTAGAAGTGCAAGTTGGCAGACAAGCCTGGTCACCTGGTGTCCAGGAATAGGGCCGGGCCGCGCTGGCCGCTTCGGGGCCACGGCCCGTTGACCCGCCGTTGTCGCGCCTTCTCTTCCTGCAGCCTGAGCTGAGCCTGGGGCAGGAGGATCTGGCGGAAGGGAAGCACGTGAAAGCCGCCAGGAGGACTCACAAGAGGAAGCAGAAGCCAGAGGACGAGGCCGGGGCCACGGGGCCCGAGGAGGCCACCTTCAGCGAGTTCTCGGAGAAGGAGGCCACGTTCTCGGGCGGCGTCGGGGACGAGACCAGCTCCGCCGTGCAGAGCATCCAGCAGGTCGCCGCTCCCCGTGCAGGGCTGGGGGCCCCGGGCGTGGGGGGCCTGGACTCTGGCCGTGGCCAGCACGTGCCCCGTTTCCCAGCTTAGACCCAGAAGTCACCGCCATCCTCCCGGGTTGGGAACGGGGCTGCGTCTAGTTTGGGGAGGTTCTCAATGGCCTGAGCATGCCGGCCAGTCAGGCAGGGCCCGACTCTGCATGCCAGGGCGTGTGGCCGGCCAGCCTGCTGCTTTTAACCAAGGCTTCCCCGCTGGGGTTTCGAGGCCCCCAGCTCCTGGTCGGCGTGTGTCGGACGCCACACCCCTCCCCTGACTGGCCCTGGTCACCCTGGTTGCAGACGTTCCTGCGTTCCAGCCCTGTCTGTGGGGAGGAGCATGGCTTGCTTTTTCATTTATTAGCTCTGGCACTGCACATTGGTTCACTGCCCTTCTGACCTTTACAGTTGGGATTTCCATTTACCATCATCACTTCACAGAAGTTAAGAGACAGTGAAGAATGTGCTCTGTTTTTCTCATTACTTTCTTCTGTTTTTTTTCCTAGCTACGGAAACCCTTTGATTTTCAGTTCCAGCTGATGGCCTCGGTGACGGTGTCTGTATCTTGTTTCTCTCTTTCACTAGAATTCTTTTTCCAGGAAAAATGAACTTGGTTTAATCTCTCAGCAGCAAGTGTTTTAACTCCTTCCTTTGGGCCAGGGGTGTGATGATTCCAGCGTCACGAGATGGCCTCCGTGACAAAGTACAGCACAGGAAGCTGCTCATGTTCTCAATTCTGCAGGAACTAACGGTCCCATGTTGTGCGTGACTCTTCCAGGTGGTGGTGACGCTGGGCGACCCCAATGTGACCACCCCGTCGAGCTCCGTCGGCCTGACCAACATCACCGTGACCCCCATCACCACCGCGGCTGGGACTCAGTTTACCAACCTCCAGCCGGTGGCTGTCGGGCACCTGACCACCCCGGAGCGCCAGCTGCAGCTGGACAACTCCATCCTGACCGTGACCTTTGACACTGTCAGCGGCTCTGCCATGCTGCACAACCGCCAGAACGACCTCCAGATCCACCCCCAGCCGGAAGCCTCGAATCCGCAGTCGGTGGCCCACTTCATCAACCTGACCACCCTGGTCAACTCCATCACACCCCTGGGGAGCCAGCTCGGCGAGCAGCCTCCGCTCACCTGGCGGGCGGTGCCCCAGACAGACGTGCTGCCAGCCCCGGCCCCCGCCCCGCAGGCCGCCCAGCCCCCGGTGCCGGCCGAGCAGCAGCCGCAGATGTACAGCTACTGAGTCACCCTGCGGGGACCTGGGGGAGAGAACCACGGGCAGGCGGTCTGCTTCTGTTTTTATTTGAGATTTGTTTGCTGGATACCAAACAAAAAAAAACATCGCACGTTGCAGCATCAGGAAGGTTGACGTAGCTTTTGCAGCGTCATCTCCAAATTCACCAACAGCCATCCCAGTCTGTCAGCTGAGCTCACAAGTGACCCCGAGCAGGTCCCCCTGAGGCCCCATGTGCTCTGCGCAGCAAGGCCAGGCCCCCAGGCTTCCCCCCCGGAACGCGGATGGGCGCAGGGTTTGGGAAAAGGAAACCCAGGGAGGAGCAGCATGGTAAGACCCGTATGTCACCAGGGATGTAAGTGGCGTGTTTCATGTTTCCCTTTAGGGCTCCGCTACTGTGTGGAAACGTAGCCGGTTTTCTCCTGTGGCTCCTGCACGTTTTTGCTAACGAGCAGATAGGAGTTCAAGTCACGTTGACTCTCTTTGAAATCTGAGTTGAGTCGAATTCGTTCAGCACCTTTGGGCTGAAACCATGTGGGAAGATGCCCTGTGGGAGCGGACGCCCCTCCTCTGGCCTTCACGAGTTGCTCTCGGGCAAGGGGTCGCGTGAGGCTGCCGACCAAGGCACCTTAGTGGTAGAATTCGTGAATCGATTCTCAATATGCCTCTTTCCTTTTTTTTTTTTTAAACTTTACCTCGAGCACGCCTTGTGTGATCGAGACTGCGGAGGCCACGTCGTTCTCTATTTTCCTCTAACACACAGAAGTCGTTTGCACTGTGGGACTGTGGGTCCACGTCCAGCTCTACGCGGCTGCCCCGATGCAGGGGCCGTGAGCCTCATGCCGGCCCCTCTGGGGGCACCTCGGGGTTGTGTCTCAGGATTCTCTGCCACCAAACGTATTTATTAGGGCTGAGGCGTAGCCAGAATCCCCCGCACTAGAGAACAGGAGAAATTCATGTCTTTTTTCTGTTTAAACTTTAAGTCCAAAGGTTGGTGTGTTTCAAGACCAGTTTTCTATAAAATGTTGAATGAACTTGGCTCTTTCCCCAAGAAAGGTATAGGTTTTTTTGAAATGTGAAGACAGTGCTATTTCCTGCCAAGTAGTATGAAAGCAGAAAGGCTATTAGCTGAGCAGTAGAAGCGTCAGTGCCCCTAATGAATGAGTGAATAAATGTGCTGAGCGACGGGAGCTCTGCCCCTCCGGGGGACGCGCTTTCACACGTGTGCGCCCGTTTCAGAAGTGGCAGGTGAGGCTCTGGACCACCAAGGTGGCAGCCAGCAGCCAGCCCTCCCACGGCGCAGCCAGGGAAACAAAGAGGCGGGCAAAGAGGCTTGATTTCTACCCTCCTGTTGCTTTAACGCTGTCCAGAATGAAATGATACGTTTGTTTGCCTTACTTTGTCCGGATCAGTATTTGTCCCCGATCCTGCATTGTTTGGGAGACCATCAGTAGCGGATAAATGAGGCAGAATAACCTTACGCTGCTAGTGAGGCTACAGACGACCTGTTACGCAAAATGCAACGTTCTCAGCACTTCGCTTCATTCCAAATCGCACGATCTTGAGGAGGGGCTAGGCTTTGATTTGTGTAATACATACTTCCGTGAACTAAGTTCATCACCCACGCGGCGTGTGAAAGGGGCTTCAGGATTCGCCCTCCACACCCAGCTCACCGGTAACTCCCGACGACTCGCACCTCTGAATTGGTAGTGGGGGATTGTTTGACTTTTAATTTATGATAATTATTTTTTATGTTATTTATGTATATAATTAACTGCTTTATACCTAATAGTTTTATCAAATGAACTTGGGCTGGGGGTGATATACTTTCTAAGTATCGTCTCTGTTCTCCAAATGTAAGTGGTCCAGGTATCCGTGGCGTCATCAAAAGCGCCGAGGTTCCTAAGGTATTTTCTTAAAAATCGCTGACCGTCCTTTTGCATTTGCAGAATGTAAGGGATGAAATGACCAAGTACAAAATCCAAACATGATTGAACACCCGCTAGCATTTATCTTCTATTCCTCTCCCCTATGAAACAAAGGCCTTTTAAATCACAATTTTATTTTTTTAAGAGAAGTTGTTTTTATGCTTAGAGTAAGAACGCAGCAGATGTCTTGAAAGAACCTGATTTAGGTCGTGTGGCCCCAGCGTACCTCCCGCCGCTTATTTAACTACACAGATGCTTAATCATACTTCCTGTTATAGTAAGTGAGAACTCTAAGTAAAAATCAAATTGACTCCTGAGTTTTCTGGAGAAATATTTGGTCTAATAGGGTCACTGTCTGGGGCAAAATAGGTTCGTGTTGTCTTAAAACGGTTGCTATGAATTTGCATATAAGACACTGGGAAGCAAAAAATAAAAAGTACTACTCAGCCCAAAGAGTTACCAGCTGTAGACTGTTCCGCACCTCTATCGCTGTCTCCTGATGGAAAAGATTTACTTTTTTTTTAACTGATCCCAGTGCACAGCTGTATCCATAGGAGGAAATTGGATGGAGCCGTTGTGACCACCGAGCTCTGTGAATCCCTCGGGGTTATTCTAAATTAATAAACCGAAGATGCTTGGTTTTGGCCGGTGAATTTGTGAAGTTGTGTCGTTCTGTGCCCCCTGACGGTGTAAGCCTTGCAGAGCAGGCCCCCGGGATTGCGTGTCCCTGAGGCAAGGAGGGGAAGGGGGCCCCGAGTGGGATGTGTTCCTGTGCCGGGTGCCGCTCCACTGTGACCGACAGGGACCTGCCTTGGAGGATTCGGGGCCCGGGAGGCAGATGCACGGACTTCACAGTCACAGTGGCCAGAGCTCGAGGCTCCCAGCTCAGGGCCGTGTCAGTGACTTTCCCGTTGGATTTTGAAATGCATCAAGGCTGAGAGGTCACGTGTATTTCGTGTCCCGTTAGTTTGTATAACGACAAATAAAAGTTGCCATGAGCTGTGTTTTTCCATTGCTGGCCCTCTGCTCCGACTGCCCATTCTCAGTAGTGGACACACGGTATATTTTGAGAACGGTTGTAATTCCCGTGTAGTTCAGACCCTGTGAAATGTTAGGATTATTTTAAATGACCCAAACATTGAAAATAAACAAGATACTGAGATATCAGAAGCTTTCACAAGGGTTTGTTTGTTTGTTTAAAAGCAACAAAGCAGGGCTTCCCTGGTGGCACAGTGGTTGAGAGTCCGCCTGCCGATGCAGGGGACACGGGTTCGCGCCCTGCTCCGGGAGGATCCCACATGCTGCGGAGCGGCTGGGCCCGTGAGTCATGGCCGCTGAGCCTCCGCGTCTGGAGCCTGTGCTCCGCAACGCGAGAGGCCACAGCAGTGAGAGGCCCGCGTACCGCAAAAAAAAAAAAAAAAAAAAAAAGCAACAAAGCAGTGGTTGTAGCATTTTTTTGTAAAGCTTAGATGGAGAGAACAGACACAAAAAAAGATGAGCAGCCAGAGAGAGGGGAGAACTTAGTAAGCAAGGCGTTCCTTAGGGCATGTGGTCTGGAAGAATCCCTCATTTTATTGATCAAATAATGATATGTTCCGATTTGTTAGGAAGAGTCATCTTAAAGTTATGAAACACCTGGAGTGTCATCCGATCTTCTAAGGATTTGAATTATGAGAACCTTGTTTTAGGTACTTCAGTTGTATCTTAGGGAACAGCTGGTAGCAGCTAATTCTTCTGCCAGTGAATAGGGTTCACCCCCTCAACGTCCAACCAATTGTGAGCATGTTCTTGTATGTGCAGCAAATTCCAATAGAAAGGGGGAGACCGGCTGGGCCACTGGCTGCTTCCCCTTGTGGGTGTTTGCACCTGGCTTGAGCGCCCCCACATCAGGAGGTCCTAGTCCTGGAATGACAGCCAATGATCTGACCTGCGTGCGCTGCAGGCAGCAGAATTACCTGGGTGACCCGCACAACGAGCTGACTGGGACCACCCCTCCCCCCGCCAAGCCCTGGTACCCATGGACCTGAGGCTTCTCCTCCCTGAGCCGGGACCTGTGGCTCCCCGGGGTCCTGCAGTCCCAGGTGCAGGCTGCTGGCATCCAGACAACACTTGAGGGCAGGCGCCCCACATCCAGACTGCCTTGGCACCAAGCCTCCAGCTCTTCCTCGATGACCGGTCTGTCTGCCCACATTTGCTCCATAAGGAGGGAGACGGACGCCCCTCTCCACGGGAAGGTGTCCCTTCAATGGGACACAGACCCACCCTGAGTGTTTGCAGAGAACCCGGCCCAGCATACTTCCCGGGGAGAGTGAGGGTGCAGGACCCGGGGCTTGGGCCCGCTGTTCACCGTCTGTTCCACGTGGGCCTTTCAGCTCCTCCTGGGCGCAGTGCATCACCCTCTCGCGTGACCATCTGCAGCTTGCCCTCAACCCCAGGAATTCTCTCTTCCTAGTTTTAGCCACAAAACAGGGTAGCAAGGTCACAAAGGAAAGAGAAGGCATGGCCGCAGTGTTGCGGGAAATGCTCTAGAAATCCAAAAGCTGCCCTGCCGGAGTCTGCAGAATGATCCGGGGCTGGGGATGAGGGTGCTGCCGTCAGGAGCGGCCGCCGTTTCGTCTGTGCGTTGCCATTCTCTGTTCCGGGAAGGCACACGGACTCATCCCCTGGATGTCGCCAAGGACCATCACGCTCTCACGTCTGACCCCGGAGTTCATGACCCCCGGCCCCAAACCTGGTGCTCCCTGACTGTCCCCACTCACGGCCCACAGCCCTGCCCTCCACCTAGTCGCACGGGCAGGAGCCCAGAGCTTACACCCCCTGTGCCTTCTGGTCTGTCCGGGTGTCACCATCCCCATGACCACCTTCCCAGCTGACAACCCCTAAGGGGCCACCCAGCCCCCGCTCATCCCCAGGAGCCCGTCCTCCACACGGTGGCCTCATTGGCCCTTGTAAAGGTGTCATGTGTCACCCACGCACCAAGGTCCGCGTCCTCCAACGGATCCGAAGTGCTCCCTGGACACGCCGATCCTTTCTGCGGCCTCGAGCCTGCAGGAGCTGCCCCGCCTCCTTCTTCCCCGTTCT